GCCACAATCGATGCAGCGGTTTCTTCAAGCAGCTTGCAACGGCTTATACTCGGAACCCTGACTCCGGATCCGCCGTATGGTCCTGGCGATTGTGGAAGCCTCGCGGCCTCCGCCGCCGACCCCGAAGGCGAGACCTCCCCGAGGACCCCCGCTGGCGCCCCCCCCCCCGGGGCCCGCCCGCCTGGACCCGGGGGAGGCGGTACTGTGACCCGGAGCGCCCTCCCCCAATCGCAGGCGGGGCCTCCCTTGGGTTACCCCCGCTCCCGGGGCCCACGCCGTCGAGCGGACCCCCGCTTGTCCTCCCTGTCCTCCCTGGGAACCGGGGAGAGGGGGGGCCGCCGGGACCCTGGGGAGGGGCGGTAATCTGACCCATGATCCCCCCCCGTCGTACCTTCTCCCTCGGACCACCCCCTTTTTATCAGTGCCCCCATGTGGAAAAAGATCTCCACCAGGCGACCAGCAGCCAGCCAGGACCAATCATGATTACCCCCCACACCATCCTTGTTGAAAGACCATGTGAAGTCCACTTTGGGGCAAAACATCTTGGGTCATGATCGGGGGGGGCGCGAGCAGGTTGTATTGTTGTTTGACAGGGGCGGCGGGGGTGTCCGCATATTGCCTGCAGTGTGCAGGGTCAGCACGCTTGTCCAAAAACACTGCAAAATACACTTCGACACAATATCTAGACCATGCGCGGGCGCCCCGCGATCATTCTGCATTGGTTTTTGACTGGGACGGGGGGGGGCTGGCATATTGCCTGCTATTTGCAGGCCCACCAGACGCCATGATGGCCACCCCGCCGCGACTGCGCACTGGTTTTCGACAAGGGTGGTGGGGCCGACACGTTTCCAGATGTGTACTGCCACGTGCGCTGGCCCATCTGGCACACTTTGCGCGTGCCCCGAACGTAGCGCACCTGGCGCGGCTAGAGCATGCGGCACACATGACGCACGTGAGTCACATGGCGCATATGGCGCACCAGGCGTGCCCGGCACGCTTGGGCCACAGGTGTGCCTGGCGTACTTGGCGCGCGTGGCGCGCCTGGCGCACCTCGCCCCAGCGTTGCGCACACTAGCTGCCCATTAGCAGTCCATTCAAAGACTGACGCTGAACACGCTGCGGCTCGCGTGCTACTTCTGTGTTGGGAGGGCGGGTGGGAGTGAGCGAGACAGCTTGCTGGCGGGGAGGGTGTCTTGGCCCCTCCCCCTACCCCCCCCGACAGGGAGGGGAAAAGTGGAGGGAATCGACTTATCTACGACGTTCCTGCTTTCTT